TTTTTTGATGTTTGAATCTAACCCTAACCCTAAACCTAACCCTAACCCTTAACCTAACCCTAAACCTAACCCTAACCCTTAACCTAACCCTAAACCTAACCCTAACCCTAACGCTCCCTAAAGCTAACCCTTACCTTAAGTTGAATCGGCTTGCTTTCAAAGCGCTATTTAAAGCGCCCTTCTTTCTCCGCGCTCACTGTTGTCGCCCTGTTGATGACGTCAGCAACGCGGTTTAATCGGGCGCGGTTTAGTTGAGCGCGGTTTTGACGAGTCACGAGGAGATTTTAGAAGGACCCTATTTATATGGTGTTCATTTTATTAAACTGTAGGTTCTTTTTAATATTATTAAATTTACATGCCACCCATCTCACTGGCTGGTTCTTACAGTTTCTTGCTTAGCAGTCTGTTTTTCAGGAAGCTGTATAAGTAAACTTCCTGCAATGCAGGAGGGTAATGTGTAATATATATCCAATATCGGAATATATGCATTTATGTTTAATATATGTATATATGTTAAGGATATGCATACATATCCCATGAAGCAGGACAGGGTAATATTTAATGCATGCTTAATATATTAATGTATGCTTAATGCATGTATATATGCACTATAAATCAGGATGGGGTAATATCTAAAATATGTCTGAATTAAACATTGGGGCGTGATTATGCACAGGAATGCTTCAGCTGAGCTTCAACTCTGCCCCTTTTCATTCAGTAACCCTTCCTTCAATAACTCACTAAATGTTCAAGAAGTTAAGTTGATATTATCATTAAAAATCCCAGAATTCCAAGCTGTTGCCCATGCCGGTCACCCCAACTGGGGGATTGTCAATACCAGCATAAGGTGAGGGGATCAGCCGGGAAAGTTCGGCATGGCACAGGTTCGAGGCACCTCCTCGTTCTCCAATATCTTCTTACCATAATGCCAAATTTCGAATTCAGGTCTCAGTCTCCCGTTGAGCAACGCAGCCGTTTTCTGATTAGGATGCCCTTCTCTGGATATTTGTCCTTTTGGTGCGGGAATTGCACAGTTGCAGGAATTGAGTGTGTCTAGTGCAGCGGTGTCAAACACGACTTTGTTGAGAGCCGCATCAGAATTGTGTTTGACCTTGGGGGGGGGAGGCATGGTCAGGATGGGTGTGGCCAGCTCGACGTCACTTGTGTCGGGGATTCCTGTGGCGAGCCAAGTGCTTTGCCAGCAAAAATGAGCTCCGTTTCGGCTGTGACGGCATCCTGCAGCCCTCTGCCAGGGAAAAGGGAGCTCGTGGGTGCCAAGCTCTGTTTTTATTGGCTAAAGCACCCCGGGGTCGTTTCTTCACTGTTTCCAGGGCAGTCCTGCAGGCCAGATCTAAGCACCCCGTGGGCCAGATCCGCCCCCCCAGGCCTTGAGTTTGACACCCCTGGTCTAGTGTAATTAAAAGAAGGACTAGAGATGACATGAGAGCAGTCTTCGAATATTTGAGGGGCTGCCAGAAAAGAAGAGAGAAAGCCCACCTATTCTCCAAAGCACCTGAAGACAGAACTAAGAAGCCATGGGTGGAAATTAATCAAGGAGAGGAGCAACCTAGAAATAAGGAGGAATTTCCTGATAGTGAATAAGTGGAACGATTTGCTTCTAGAAATTGTGCTCCAAGACTGGAGGTTTTTAAGAAGAGATTGGACAACTATTAATGGTTGAGGTTGAGCGGGAGGTTGGACTAGAAGACCTCCAAGGTCCCTTCCAACTCTTTTTTTAAAATAAGTATTTTATTTTATTTTTTTACAAACATATCAACGCGTGAACAGTGCGACATCTGGGTATCATACATTCTAATACAAATAAAACTATTAGTCAAAGTTATTACTTTCAACCCACATATATTTCTAATAGTAATACATATTTATATAAAGTTGCAATCTGTCATTATTCAATTAGTCCAGGTTTTCTCTTATTATTGCTCTTATTTTATTATATAAACGTGTATATACACTAATATTCCCCTTTTCTCTTATTTCTATTTCTTATTCTAACTTTTATTCATGTCATCCTTTGCTAGAAAACGTTTTCTTTCTATCCTACCTAACTTCTAATCATGTCACCTACCTACAAAAAAGAAAGAAGAGAGAGAGAAGAAACGAAAAGAAAAGCAAGACAACACTAAAAACGTAAAATCATCTATCCATCATCTCTTGCCTGCTTCAATACTTTACTTACTCTGCTTTTTTTTTCTTTTTTTATTTGTCTCCCATATTCCTCTCTAAGATCTTTGTCTCTTTCTATATCTGCTTCTTGGCTGTTCAATCTGAGTACTCTTGTTATTCTGGTGGACATTCATTGCATCTGCCTGATCTCAAATGTATATATATATATTTTTTTAAAACTCAGGTCAAATCCTGTACGGACGAGTGATGTGGAACCCGGAGCAGATATAGAAAGA